CTCTTTTTTTTGTAAGAATATAGTTTAATAAGTTGCCAACTGAGACAAACAAACCCTGATGACTGCTTTTACTAAGTGTCTTGGTCATGCAGGAGTTAAATATACAGAAAGCTGCAGAATGCTATTATTTTAGAGGCCTGTGAAAATGCAATTTGATTAGTCTATTGGACGATATTCCAAAGAACCAAATGTCTTCCATGAATCAGTCAGAAATGCTTAGGAAAACCAAAATAAAAAATGCTTTCCAAGCCAATAAAGGTGCTAATTAGTGCCTTCTGCATATCTCACTACATCTTCTCCAGTAATACATTTTGCAGGGTTAAGTGCAGTGTCTGCTGCTTCAGATGGCAGAAGTCCACCTAACAGTAGGGAGGGTGGCTGGAGACTCAAGTATCTAAAAGGGAATCAGAACTGGCGTTTTAACCCATGCAATGGGATGTATTGAGTAGAGCAGGGAATTTTTTTTTTCTCACTTTAATTTTCCTTCAGACCAACCCTTAGGAAACTTGAGGATAGGAGAACTTGAATTCTTTCTTTCTTTCTTTGTTCCCTCAATGCTTTTAGAGAGTAAAATCTGGCTTTAAAAACCTAATAAGAGTGCTATCTTGGGAGGACAAAGAAATGGAGAAAATATCAGAGCCAAGCACCCAGAGAAGCCAGTGTGGATTTGAGCAGGCTTAGCAGGCAGGCTTATGTGGTGAACACAGGTGCATCTGTAAGGGTCCCACCTTCTACCTGAAGAAGCTTGGGGAAATCTGGGGTAACAGGAGCAGTTTGTTTGTCCCATGATGGCATTCTCTAGGTGTCAAATTTGTGCTCTGATCAGAGGTCACAGACTTAAATGCTTCTGTGAGCCAGGCAGGTGAGTGCTAATGAACCAGGCAGGCGGGGAGACTGCAGAGAATTGCAGGGAGCATCACCTCCAGCAGATGTTGCCCTGAAGAGACCTGAGCCAGGGCTGCTGGATCTTCTGGGTTTTAACAAAAGCCTGGGAATACCAATGCTGCTGAGAACTGGGCTACTAGCTTCAGGTTCATTATTGAAAACAGGCAAAGAAGCAAGGGCCTGACCCTGACCAGGTTGTCCTCAGGTTCCAGGAAGTTTACCTTACAAATTAACAAAGTGGAAAAAAAAAAAAAAAAAAAAGCTAAAGTAAAACCAAAGAAAACTCCAACAGGCAAGGAATAATAGTTTCACACTGTCCTGTGCAAGACTCAACTGTCAGCGTCCAACACTGGGAAGGCCAGTTCCTGTTTCCACAGTCATCAGGAAGTAAACACGTAGTAATGCTAAAAATGCCCCTTGGTCTCCCAGGACTCAGGGTGTCCAGGGAGTGAAAAATGGAAATGAAGCAGTGAAGCTAATTGATTTTTGATAATTATATTACAATTTTAAAAATCAGGCTTGTCTTGTGAGTTTCAAAAATTATATCGATTTTCCCTGGCTTCATTTTCTCCAGAATCTAAGCTTGGCAGCAGAGAAGGCTATGTGTCTGAATATATTGGATAGAGATAGACATTTGTGTCATTTTAAACAAGATCAAAAAGAAAGAGTCTAACAAAAGATGTAAAAGCTATATCTGTATATCAGTAAGTGCGAGATTCAGGTGAGGGGGGTCAAACATCCTGCCCAGCCCCTAGCTGTCAGCGACGGCTGGGCCTTACAGGGCCCGCTGATGCTAAAACTGTGTAAGGCTTTCATGTGTGTCATCAGACCAGAAAACAGCGCTTCGGTGAACTAGCCAGGTCCACTTTGCACGTTCCTTAGAAAATATGTTTCTTTCAGGGGCTTCTTTTCCCCTTTGGGGCTGCCCTTGGTTTCTTGGCAACCAGATTGCTCCTGAACCTGGACTGCAGAGCTGCAGCGTGTGTGGTCCGTGGAATGTGGCTACTAGATCTGTGTGGGCACTAGAATCTCATGAAGAAGTCCTGAGTGAAGGGATGTGGAATTTTATGGATGACTTGGATGTTCTGTGGGGCTAAGGTTTTTGAAAACTCAACAAGGCTGAGCTAACTCTTTTCATCAGTATCTGAAAATGGTTCATTTCCTGTCTGACAGTTTGAGCAATTCACTGTGGCCACAATGCCAGACCCCTGGCCTGGACGTACACATCCGTTCACATGTTCTAGGAAATCCAGAGCAATAGCAGACAACCGGAAAAGACTGAGGCAGTGGCAAGAGTGGCGGTACTGGCAGAATATGAAGCCAAATGTCCTAGAACCCCAGAGTATTTTATGTAAGAGCTGCTCAGAAATTCCAGAATTCTCTGGATGAACTAACTAGGCACAAATGGAGCCTGCCTTTGTGAGATACATGCAGAGCAATAGATGGAGATGGTGGGGGCAGGGAGAAATAGACAAAAAATTGCTGAAAATGATAAATATTTATTTTAACCTTCCATTTTGGGCAACCTATTATTTAATTCATCAAGTCATTACAACATGACTGCCAAAATATTATACTGTGCTGGCATCTATAACATGATTAATAAAGTGGCAAATAGGCTTTCTCCCATGTGACAACTTTAATCAATTGACATTGGCTTTATGATTTGAGAAGGTTTGAGACTGAGTTCAGTAAGCAAGAGTGCTGCAGTGGATTAGCAATGCCTGCCTAGGTGAGCAGTCTGGTGTTGAATAGATGATGTTTTTCAAACTCTGGATTGTGGAGGTGACTGACAGAGTGAAGGAAGAGCTAAATGGGAGACCACTCTGCCCAGAACAGCACTCCTTTTATCTATTTAAATTACTAGAAATTTGCAAAAGAATTCCTCACTAAAACCCATAGTTTTAAAACTACTGAGGTAATGGGCAAAAGGCTGGAGTTTGGATTCTAAGCTAATTTCTAAATTGGTGCATAAGTTTGAGTCAGATATTTTAACTTACATGAATAACTGTCACCAGATATCACATAGCACATTTAATAAATGTCACATTTGTATCATAATAATGGTCATTCACCTTGATATTCCATCCTTGGTAGTGGCTCCCTATAATGTTCTATGAAGCAGTTTATTCTAAACTCATAGTTTATTCTAAACAAAGGGTGAAGTTTGTTTATTCAAAAAAACCACTCATGAAGTTTACTCTACACGAAGAATGGCATAAAAGCTCCATCTCATTCAATTCCTGACAATTCTGAGAGCCTATCTAGGCTCTATGAGAAAGTGGTGTAATTGATTAACGATGTCTGCTATGAGAGTGAGATTGAGAGTGGTAGCATGGAGATACATATACTTTATTTTTAAACCTTTATCATAGATTGATATTTTTCACCCTATATAGCTCTTGTGGTGACAGAATTCCATTTGTTTTGTAGGGCAGAACTTACTGTATCTGTTTCCTCATTACCTTTTAAAATTGTAGTTATGTATTTCGGACTTAATTAAGAATCCACTATTTGCTCACACCTCAGTAATATACCTCTAGTCTTTATCTTTCTAGACCAGTTGCCCTTTTCCATTCGGCAGGGTCACTGAACCTTAAAAAAAAACAGCTGAAAACTATGAGTATTCTTATCTTCACCCTCAAAATTTGGTATTCAGAGACAAGTTCCCAGATACCTTGAGATCTATTCAGAGACCCCCTACCCAGAGAGGAACTCTGGCTCCAGACTGAAGAGCCCTTTATTATTTTCCTTTTTTATATGTGTTTCAATCATTTAAGCTTGTTTTTCCAAAATCTCTCCCAACCTGTGTTATATTTCTTATGGTGAAGAACTTTACATTCTCATAGAAGTGCTGGGTGGTAATACTTCCAGTTTGATACATGTCACACATTTGCGCCCAGGAGAGCCACAGTGAGAGGAAATTGGAAGCCCTGGGGATGGAGTGGGGGACTTCTGAGGAACTGCCTGTCTTCTGAACACTTCGTTCTGCAGATGTCTACTGCAGCGTTACTTCACAACACAGGTTCTGAGTACCGCTTCCGCCCCTGAATAGGCCTCTCTGACATCCAATATGTAGCTCTTCTATTCTGTCCTCAGCACCACTAACCAGGCAAATGGACTTTCAGCATCGTCCTTCTCACATTTACTTGTTTGCTCAAAAACTTTTTATTGTTTTCCATGTCCTAACACGTACATAATAAACTCTTCTTTCCAGCTTTCGAATAAGCGACAAGACAATCTGTTGACAGCGTAGTGTCTTGAAACAACAGCAACAAATAAAAATAAGCTGTGGCATCGTACTGGCCATGGGAAATTTATTTACTCTGAGCCTCAATTTATTTCTCTTAAGTGGGCATGAATGATACCTATCTCACGGATAAACAGATTGTGCATGTAACACGCTTAGCACATTGCCTCACACAAACTTAATGTTAAATAAATGGTAACTATTATTGTTATAATCAATAATAAATGTAATGATAAATTCCTGGATCTGCTACTTCTGACTGTGTGGTCATGGGCTCATTACTCAACTTCTGTGAGTCTCAGTTTCCTTATCTGAAAAATAAGAATAGGTCCTAAATTATAAGACTGTTGTAAGGATTAGGTGATACAAATCAATGGAAACTGCTCCGTGCATGCTGGGTTCTTCATGTATTCTTTTGCCTGTCCCCATCCTTGCTCCTCAACCTTTTGTACCAGGAGAGAGTATTCCAAAATGCCTTGCGATCTAATCAGCCTAGCCCTATCACTGTGCTTGGCACTTGCTATAGACACTCTTCTTTCATAATGACACCTCTTTTCCATTTATCAAATTCTCCCCATTCTTAAAAATCCAAGACAAGTACTGTTTCCTCCATGAAATCTTTGCTGACTACTTCATTTGCCACTGACTCCCCCCTTCACTGAGCAAGTACCACATTTCTTCAAGTGCTTGTCACACAATTTAGCCATTAATTACATTCTGTCTTGTTCACTACAGAGATGCCTTTTATCTCAGGCTGATACAGTCTTGGATATGGAAATCAATGCCATGTTGGTTTGTTTGAAGGTGAGAAAACCTTCCTTTAGAAAAAAAGGAAATTAAGCTCATCTCCTCTTTTTTGTTGCAGTTCCTTTTCATGAAAAAGGAATGGTTCAAATGACTGTGAAAGACTACACGAGGTAGGTGACAGAGTCACTGTTATTTCACTGCAGGATTTTACAGCCACGTCTTTCATAGATGAAGTGGAAGTGAGGAGGTCTCTTTATAATGCCATGGATCTTGGGATCTTGTCACTGGTTTAGCCAGAGTGCCTAAACCATTTGTACCAGCCTCGAGAGAGATAGAGGTTCTTTAATTGTCATGAAGGAGTGTGCAGATTAACTCAGCAAATGCTGGCTTGGGGGGAGTTTAATTAAAGCCTCCACGTAAATGGTATTCTACTAAAATCCAGCTATTCATGAGGACCTGTTCATAAAGTAGTTACATCCGTGTTTCCATATTGTCCGTTATTATCACGATATTTGCTGGACTAGAATGCCTACGGTTTCCACTGTTAGGTAGAAAGCATTTTGAGTGTCCCTAATATGAGGAGAGAGACTAGGTCCCAAAGGGGTCTCAACAGCAGCAGGAACATCACCTGGCAACTTAGTAGAACTGCAAGTTTCCAAGCCTCACCCCAGTCACATCACATCAGAAAATCTGGACGTAGGGATCAGAAATCTATGTTTTTGCAAGCCCTTCAAATATTCTGAGGCCCACTCTAGTATAAGAACCACCGGCACAGACAGTGTGCTTCTGGGGCTTGGGAACTCTGCTTCCCACGCTCTAGTCACTCTTGCCTTCTCCGGATAATTCGAACTTGTCGAAAACCAAACGTTCAACACTGTATCCCTCTACCTCCTACCGATTCACACCTAAAATGCTACTTTGGCATAGTTTTTCCCTCTTAGAAGATTAGATGTTTTTGCTACTCACAGAATCATAGAGGCGTGGGGACCACAGAAATCTCTCAGGCAACTCGTTTTGTTGAAGAGGAAAGTGACAAGTTAAGGTCAGTGACTCACCCATGCTCCTACAGCTTGATTGGAATTGTGACTGTACGTGGACTATCCTGGATCCAAGGTCAGGGCAGTTTCTAGGTAGCTCTGCTGAACATTATAAAATAAAGTGTGAATCTCAAACACAGAGTGAAACAAAAATTATGGCAAACCTAATGCAAACTGAGGGGAGGCAGTAAGTGAAAGGTATCTTCTTCCCGCCTTCCAAGACTCTCAGCCAGCTCAGTCATCTGCTAAAACAGAATCTTTATTATTGAGAAACGTGCATTTTCTCGGCCTTAATACAGAGAAGCAATTAAACAAAGAAGAGGTGGGGCCCAGCTCTTCTTACCAAATGTGGACCAGGCTAAGGCAAATTCAGGAGCCCATGTAAAGTAACTTGGTCTCCTTGGGAGAATTGATATCAACATTGTATTCTTTGATAAATTTCAATTTTGTGCCCACTTGCTGTTATATTTGATGAGGCTAGATATGTTATGGTATATCTGAGCCATATAAAAGTGAACTATATTATAACAGGGTTCCATTCTGTTTGGAAACCCTTTCAAATGACTTGCATTGCAGGCCTATTTGCAGAGAGAGATGCTCGTTTTTTTTGCCTTTGCCATAAGAAAGGAGTTTGTTAGTGTTGCATATGGATGACCACAGGAGACAGCACTTAGAGAGTGTTAACCATGCAGTATGAAACCCTCCACCACTACGAGAATTCATGCAGAGTTGCTTCAGTGGTTGCTTGCTCTACCTCTTTCATCACATAATTTTAACTTTTTCCTGAAAGTTGGTGCCTAGCAAAGCTGTATTCCTGAAAGGTTCCCCAATGATTTGCCATCTGTCCAAAGTGAGACATTCTGTCACCTTTATAATGAGCACTTGTGGGCACCTAACACTTAAATTCCTACACCTTCTGTAACACAACGCTCTTGAAGAGAGGAGCAGTTCCTCTGCTGCACACACTCTCTTCTTCAAAGGTGTGGCCATTACGAGATTATTAGAAATAAAGAGGAAATGCAGATGTTTGCTCTGGAAGGGAAAGAGTCACAGTGACCTCCCAGGGCACTATCTAAATCAACACATCTCATCGTTGGTATTTCCCCCCTCCCCCGACTGCAGATCTCTGCATCAGTGTTTAGAAACTCCCACTCTCTCCAGAGGGACCAGTTTCAACTCTTGCCATTCTGCTGCAAGTATACCACAAAGGTACGTGATTTCCAGGCACTTTTCATCCAGAAAAATCATTCTCTTCAACGATGGATTTCATGAAATTACAAATAGGCACTTGAGAAATACTTGTTGAATGGATGGATGAGAGAATGAATAAAGGATTTCAGAACCCCAACTTGCAAGAACGATGTAAAAGATTCAGTGAAGGTGGACTAAATGTCTGTCAGTGGGGAAATGGCCAGTTAAGCTAGTGGCCCGCCCACTTTATGGAATGCTATACAGTGACAGAAGGAATAGGTAGAGATGGCTATACTAACTTACAATGGTCTTTAAGTCATATTTTAAGAGGAAAAAAATCAAGATGCAGAAAGATACATAGACTATGTTACTGCTTATAAAGCCAACAAGTGAAAACTAAAGCATATATGTAACTACATTAAAAAAAAATGTCTGGAAGGATACACGTAAATTCAGTAGGAAGGCAGTCAGGATTTGCAGGGGTAATGGCCAAGGGGAGAGAGACCCTTATGTGGGACATGACAATTTTTAACAAAGTGAGTGTATTTTATGTCTTTCTTACCTGATTAAATATAGATTTAAAAAAGTAAATAATATTGAAAGTATTTTTAATGACAGATCAATCAATAATTATATTCTTGGCCATGAGAATGTGAGCCATTAGAAAGCAGGACTATATTATTTTTGATCTTTTTTGTGCCTTAGGTGCCTACCAGAGAGCCTAGAACATGACAGACGTTCAATAAATATTTGTGTAAATGGGTAGTCAGTGAGGGGGAAGTGAGCTGGTATATATAAATATAATTTCCACGCAACTGCAGGGTATCATTATAAGTGCCAGCACTGAATAAAACAAGTTGAAAACAGTACTTCTTGTTTCTCAGCCAAGTCCAAAAAAATACAGAACATATTTTAACCTCACCTAGGGACTTAAAGTCATTATTTGTGAACATTAGTCCTGTAGTCTCCATTTAGTGATATCCTCAACAAAGCTGCGTGACTGGGGATGCCCCAGACTGATACTCTTTTTAAATATTCTTTTTTTTAGTCTACTGTTTTCAGGGTTGGTTTTTTTTTTTCTTCTGTTTCATATTGCCATCAACTACCATTTTTTGTGGTTATCACTTCACTGCCTCTGGTTTTTGTCCCACAATCTCCCTGCCATATCTAACTTAACACCTGCCTGTTGTGAAATGGAAAACCTGTTAAGTAAACTCATTTTAAAGTACAGACAAGCAGTCCCTGAGCGGGGGTGAAGGACTGTCCTTTTAGGAAGTATATATGAGCTCTAGGAAATGCACCATCTGTTTGTCTATTCAGATTCCTCCTTTACTCAATTTCTGGAAGATTGGGTGGGTGAGGTGACTAGGAAAAAAAATGGCTTTTGGTTAAGTGAACTGTTACTGGATAAAGATATTCATATTTTTACTGCAGCATTCCTGAATGGCTGGAATTTTGGGAAAAAGATCCAGTGGAGATTCTCTTGGATCTGGGGTTTGGTGCTGACGAGCCAGACATCTACACACGAATCCCAGCCAGATTCCTGGGTTGTGACTCAGCAGCCAGAGGAATCAACATCCGTGTTTTCCTCGAAGCTCAAAAGCAGCGAATGGACATTGAGAACCCTAACTCGTACAGTAAGTGAGGACCACGTGGCGTCAGAACCTCAGCAATGGCAATGAGCAGTCAGATGAGCCACAGTATTAGGAGGAATGGGCCAGGAGATCTGTGCAGTAGCAATCAACCCCAGTATCTCAGTGGCTTCAAACAGAAACAAGTTTATGTCATGATCACTCTCCATGCCCACTGCAGATTGGTGTATACTTTGGGAGGAAGCAAGATCTGTTCCATGATGTTTTCCTTATCCATGGACTTGGCTCAACTATCTGGAACATCACTGGTTGTAAATGACAGGGAAAAGGTGGAAATAGAGAACCATGCTTGGGTCTTAAAGCCTCCTGCTCAGAACTTACACATATCAAGTGTGCTCATTTCATTGTCCAAAATAAATCATGTGGCCACACTTAACTCCAAAGGGGTGACAATGTGCAATCGTACCGCATGCCCAGAAGGAAGACAATACTGGTGAACAGCACTAATACATACCATAGCCACATACCCAGAGGTCAGAGAAACCAGGATCTGGCAAGGCTTATCATGAGTCGCTAAGTGACACCTTAATTTTCTCACCTGTGAGGCTTATTTCCACCCCAAGCTGTAATTGGTAGTTATAAATCTGTCACATCTTCAGATTTGTGGAGCAACTGTGCTTAAATCTTACAGTTATCACGCATGCCGCAATGTTTCTCCCACTGATGGTCACTGGAATACTTTTCTCTAGGACACTGCTGAGGATATTCTTGGAGCATGTGTACTGTGCTCAAAGAGTTTGAGAGAAAGATGGCTTACAGCTAAACAGGTTTATTTACTGCAGGATTTGTTTAATATGCTGAGGTGCACGCTCAGCCTTCTAGAGGGGATGCAGTGCAGCGCTTTCAAAACCGTTTCAGTACAGAACCTCTCTTAGAGGAGCATTAAAGAACATCTCCTCCGTGGAATAGAGTTTGCAGAATTCTGGACTGTGGAACATGCCAAAATTCTAGTTAAATAAATTCTTCTAAATAAATAAATTCACTGAAAGGAAAGTCAAGTGAGATGAAGTGTTTCTCTCAAACAAATATCAGGAACAGAGGTTTTACGTAGATTTTTTCATTTCAGTTTCTGTTTCCCCTGCTTTCCTATGGGTGAAATGGGTCTCAGAAATCTCAGCAATGACGTTGTTTAAAGAGAGTATATGCAAAACTGAAGGTGTTGCAGTGTGATGTTTCTTTACTTTTAGAAGAAATTAATACCGTTCTTTGTTGTCTCCTCCTCCAAGCCCCACAGAGGTGCAAAATCTTTGATCAGTTATTTATTTGGGGAGAATAATAACACTTACCAGTATGTGAGGAGTGATTGAGCAGATCTGTGAAGTAAACATTTCACAGATGAAATTGACACATGGATTTTAGGGAAACCAGGAGTTGGCCCCTGATCCTGTGGCTGCTGGCCCCCTCTTATTTCCACCACTTAGACCTGTGCTAATAGAATAGAGCACGGTAACTATTCTGACTCAACACTTACAGTACACTTTCAACTCGAGAAAACTGAGAAAGTCAAGTGTAAAACAAGCAATAGTAAAATTAGTTGGTTGTCCCACAGACAGAATGGAAAAGTATGTCTCCTTCAAAGTCAGTACAAAACGTTCCAACTTGAAGGGATGAGAATCAGTTGGTTCATTGTTCAGTGTACCTCAAAGCAAAACAAACAAACAAAACCCCCCATCCAACACTTCACACTATTATGTTCTCTGAATTGCCTGAACCAATTAAATTGATAGGTTTTATGTTAGTCTAAGTATAAAAATCTGCTATAGAAAGGATACTAAGACAATCGTAAAAGTGGAATTGTGATTCAATCATGCTCTTGAGCTTACAACTAAATTTAAGGGGGAAGCGTAATCAGAATATTTCTGAAAACACCTGGAACCCAAGAGTTCCTCTAGGTCTTGACAGAATATCACAGTCCTCCATAAGACACCCATCACATTTTTTTGGAGTAGAATTATCAATGGTCAATATCTTCCACTTTCAGGTGAAGAAAACAGGTAGGCATAATGATTTGCTCATGGAGGAGTCTGTAGCATCGCTATGATGATGCAAACAACAGAACAGAGGACAGCATCCTTCCACACCAATGGGCCTTTGGCCGTTGATGAGCTATGCAACCCTTCATGCTATCACTGGGGTTGAGAGAAGGCTGTGTAATAAAAACAAAATGTTCTGTTTCCATTACTGTGGTTTTACTGCCTGGAGATACCAAAAGTATTTTTTACAATTTTTTCAAAGTGGCAATGCATCCCCAAAATAGCCCTTGCTACATTAGACCTCTCCCACATACTAATTAAGCCAATTCTTGCATATTGCCCGAATGAGTGAGGCCAGGTGGTTCAGAAAGACAAGTTGAGGAACTGGTTTGTTTGGAAAGGTAAATGGGTTTTCACATTAATGACTATCTTCTCTTGGAAGACTGAAGACAATACATTCCCTTCCTGAGTCGTGCACACTTACTTTAACTGATATGTATGTAGCATTGTGTTTTTCACAACAGATGTGAGAGATATGTGAGACTGGCATTATTATCTCATTCTCCAGATGAAGAAACGGGCCATGTACCGTGTGCTAGGCGCAGGGATAAGCACCGTGAATCTGTTAATTCATTCACTTTGTGGTCACACTTTCAGTGACTGGTTGATCTGGGATTTGGATCCAGGCCTTCTGACTCCATGTGTCCTGATCTTTCCACACTCTCAGGTGGAGGGTATAGATGGATATGATGGAGGTGATGATGAGGACGATGACTGCCTCAAGCTATGGAAGGATGGAAGAATCTCCACGCTCACTTCATATGGAAGAGCTGGGCTCACTCTTTGACATCTACTTTAACACATGACATTAATCTCAAGATTCAGCCTTGCCTATAGTTTTTATAGATTAACACATGAAGACTGTATGAGTCTATAGAGTCATGCATATTCAACTAAATATAAAAGGCATTCTCTTTCCCTATAATACAGTGATACCTTGTCATGTAGGGGAATCTCCTCCATAATAATCAATGGCACACACTAAGGAAAACTTGAGTTTCAGAAACTTAAAGTCCTTCGCATCTTGAAAATCACGTGAGTTAACAAATCTCTTCAGTTTTTACCACATGAATGCAGTTTCGTTGAAACTAAAAATTGTGTGTTGCTTGTATTGTTCAGGCTGTTTCTAACAGCTGGAAATATTGGATCATGTGGCCAGTGCTTTCTCATCTTTGCTGAATGATGTCAACATCCTGCAGAACAAAGCTAAAGAGGAAGATGAAGGAAAAAGTGTGCAAAGAACCTCAGTGAGTGAAGCCAAAGAGCATCGAAGAAGAATGGGTGAACTTTTTTAGGATAGGTTCAAAGCAGAACACTAGAAGGGATTATAGCCTGGGAGCATCACAGTCATTGAAGATGAGAAACAAATTTTCCATCGTCTCTGCAGAAGCAGGGTGTGGAGCAGAGTTGCCATGACAAACAAACACGACCAAAGTCATGTGTCTCTTTCAGCAGAGCACTGGTCTCTTCAGGCCTGTGATGACTTGACACCTTGTGATCCTCCCCAAGCTCTTCTGAGCAAGCAGTGTCCTCACTCATCCATGCTGGCCAAGCAGGCTCCTCCTTCCTGTGTGTCTGAGGGGTTAGTCAAGGACAGAACTCAAAAGGAGAACTCACTTCAGACTAACAAACTCAAGAGCTTGTCTTGTCTTGCAGGCAAAGCACCAGACTCCTTCGAAATGGAAGAGGTCAGTGTACTCAACTTCTAAGGGAAGTATCTCCCACCAAGGCATCTTTTGCCTTCCACCCCTCATTTAACCCCTTCATCTTTCAGCCCTTCAGCATTACATCTTATTCCAAACTTCTGTTTAATCTAGGACATTTAAGGTCATTCTAGTTACTTCAGTCAGAGCTAAACTAGTATGAAGCCAGCCTTTGCTTTCTCCCATTTCTTTTCCTTTTTTTGCTCACAACTGAATCCACAGGTTATTTTTCACTTTGCTTTTCCTCAGTGTTTTATTATGCATCTCAGTATACTTTCATCTACTCTCTAACTTTTCATGTTTCACCTTCTTTGAGGGTCAGTTCAACTACTTCCCACTAAGTGAAGCTAGCACACCACTCTTCCTCTGTATTCTCGTAGCCTTGGCATGGAGAGCTTGTTACAGTAAAGATTGCGTGTGTGTGTTGACAACACCTCCCCCGCTGGACTGTCAGCTCCTTGAGGATTAGATTTTATCCTCAAGGGAATATGTCTTGGGAATATTTCCCTTGCAACACCTAATGCAGGGCCTTGGACAAAAAAAGTAGGGACTTGGGTTTGATAGCATTTTATTTGCTTGCTTGCTTTGGGATTTAGTGATACTCACGTAGCTTGACCTCCATTTCACACATATTCTTTGCCTCTTCATCCCACCTTCATTCACACATGCTAATTTTCATTGTCATTTAGATGGCACACCCAACTGTACTTCAAAGTCTTTTTAAAAAATATATACACATTTTCACTCATCTCTTTATTCTTTAATTACAGAGAAAGTATAGAAGAGCAAGGCTTTTTCCCCCTTTTCATGTAAATTGTTTAGAAGTCAGGTAGGATATTTATATGCCAATCCCAAGGTCAGGCCACTCTCTTTCGAGCCCTCTACAGGTGAGACACTCTACATGTCAGCCCACTACATGTGAGACACTCTACATGTGAGCCCACTACATGTGAGGCTCTGGGACACAGACTCTGCCCTCAAGGTAACCACAGTGTAGTGGCAGGGATAAGCACAAAAACCAATAACATGGTAGGGAGAGTGACAGCTATGCTGATAAACTTTCATGTCACTAAAGAGACAAGTTTGGATATCTGGGGAGTAAGAAAAGGGGCTCTTAATCAGCCAGGGGGCTGAGACAATCAAGGAAATCGTAGGATGTTAAAGCTTAACAATAACTTTAAAAGAAGTCTAAGAATGCCTATTGGTAGGTCTCCCCATCCCACAAAGAGATAAAAATTGCCTCAAAATATATAGCTGTTAATGATCCTAATATCTATGTGTATATGTTTTTGTATGCATATGTATTATGTCAAAAATGATTTTAAGAACCTTAAAATATTAATCTGACTTAAAACAGTAGCATAAAAATGAATAAAAATTATAAATGGAGAAAAAACAGAGCTTTGGTCAAGTGCCGTGATTTCAATACAATCGCAGGTGGCACTAAAAAAGCGTATTTTCTTTTATTCAATCTTGTAAAAATTATTTAATTACCAAACTAATAGTTAAATTACTATAAAGACTATAAAGACAATCTGCAAGTCATTATTCAGTCTGCTGTCTATTTCCTAGGATCCAAACAGGAAATTCACCAAACTCCAGCCTGTTGACAAGCCTCATTAGACTCCACGGTCCCCTTACTAAGCTTCTTCTGCATCAAACTATACTGACTTAGAGGAGAACAAAGTTCCTTGTATGTCATCTATATGTGAGAGTACAGGGAGAGATAAATATCATCATATTCAACATAAAGAGCTAAGAAAAGAATGTTAGTCCTTGCATGGCAAACTTTCGAATATTCTTATATGACAATTATTCAAGGAAAAGCAATACGTATTAGTATATATAGGTGTGGTAAGGGAGAACACACTCAGACACCAAAAATTAAAATAAAAGTAAAAACCTCACGTTTTGTGGCACATAGTGGGAACTTGGTAAATATTCTTAAAGGAGTAAATTAATATTAGAAGTATTTGATAATTTAATCTGTGAGTGGCTTCCATATAAAAACAAAATATTCTGTTGAACTTCGAAGCCAACTTTCGTTGTGGTGTTTCTTTAATATTTGCCCAGATTTGTGTAAGAGGCTATATGTATATATAAGGCAGAGAGAGCCTTCAAAATGATATTTAAAAACTCACTATTTGAATTTTGTTTTCTTTTTTTTTAATAAATTTATTTACTTATGTATTTATTTTTGGCTGCATTGGGTCTTTGTTGCTGCGCGTGGGCTTTCTCTAATTGTAGCGAGCGGGGGCTGCTCTTCATTGTGGGCGCGGGCTTCTCATTGTGGTGGCTTCTCTTGTTGCGGAGCACGGGCTCTGGGAGCGGGGGCCTCAGAAGTTGTGGCGCACGGGCTTAGTTGCTCCGTGGCATGTGGGATCTTCCCAGACGAGATCTCGTTAAATTCTTAACCACTGCACCACCAGGGAAGTCCCGAACTTTGTTTTCTTAAAAATGTATATTTAAAATATTAAATCTTCATCACACAGACTGGGAGAAAAATATTTCTTTCACTCAATACCAATGTATGAGTAAATGAAACTTGGGTAGGTTGTAGCTTAAACAAGAGCTAATGCCAGATTTAATAGTCATTTTTTAATGGCAAATTTAAAAATATAAGAAATGAAAACTATGTGTGAAATTGGCAGATTTTCATGGCAGTTAAAACATAAACCAATGTACTTAAATATCTACCTATCAGAATTTCAACTCTGATTGGCCAAATTCTGCCTCCAGATCACTCTATGATGTTTTCCCTAAAGTCCTACTAAAGGCTGAATATGGTAATATTTGGCTCACTTCTCAAAATTATGATTCCAACCAAGTTGTACATAGATTTTTAATGCAAAAATCAACATTTTTGTGTTTAATTTTACTGAGTTAAACTGAGTCTGTTCCTTTCTTTTTTTAATTCCCAAATATATTATGAGAATTTAATACTTATGAAACTTCTGTAACTGTAGACTCTCTTAGGGTGCATCTTTGTATCTACAATATAACATCTTAAACCTTCCCTCTGGCTTACATACAAGGACCCTGCTCTCTGGAACTCCTATGTAAGAATGTTACCCGTAGTATTAAACAATGCCAGTCAGCATCTTGTTTAGGTGAGAAATGTTTCAAACGTTATAATTATTTCTTTTTTTTTTTTTTAATAACTTGGGCCCAGGTGGAATAACCCAGGAATATACCTGGTTTCCATTTTACATTATTGGGAATTTTTTGTTTTTCTTTTTTTTTAATAGATGAATAGGTACTTTACATTGCACTAAGTGGATTTTTCTCCAGGATAACAGTCACAGAGAAAAAATTTACTTATTATACTGAAAAATTTATATGGTGCACACTGGTTTGAGTTACAAAACCAGTAAAAATAATGTTAAGAAGTATGTCTAATCAATTACAAGTATAAAGTACCTTCTGTGAAAAAAGAGATGAAGGATTAAAAAGAGGGAATAAATATTTCTTCTTACATTGCTGAGCTATATCCTCATAGTCCTCTGTTTATTCCTGGGTTAAAGGTAATTTTTGGCCGTATGTACCGCAATGCTTAAAATGTTTTCATCCTTTGATTCAGCCTTCAATATTCAGACATGAATCCCAAATAAATAATATGACATGTAGAAATAGATTTATGTACAAAGATACTCATCTCAGCATCATTTCTATTTGCAAAATTTAGAAAACTTTCCAACATTAGGAGAATCATTAAGTAAATTAATGTACCTTCAAAATATGGCCTATTGTGCACTCATTGAAGATGGTGTTTTCAAAGAAATTTTATGATATGGGGAAAAAAGGTCCCTCCAAATTTTGAGATGAAAATTTGACTACGTTACTATATCCAGAATTAATGTATTAAAAGAAAACCTGCAAAGACATGCTCCAAAATAATAACAGTAACCATTTTCCTACCTTATTTAACTTTTTATATTTATCAAGTTTCTATAGAAAGCTGTTATTATTTTTAAAGAAATAATTATTATTTTGTTTTAACAATAATTTTATTCTCATTAATAGGGTAATATTCATTAATTTCTTAAAAGAATTTTTTAAATAAACTCTACTCTCTCAATTTGAAAATCAAATGTTCTTTGAGCTTTCTAAGCTTTATATAGCAACTGAGTTATGAAATTTCCTGAATTGCTCTCCACAAATTTACCAAGTTGTAAATAAATCCCTTAGAGAGCTAAAATTAAATATGGGAAATAACTTGCTTGCTCCAAATATAGTTAAAGCTCTTTAGGAACAAAAGAAATATTTCTAGGTTAATAGTAATAATATTATTTAAGTTTAGTTCAAATGCCACATTTTCCAGGCAGGGCCTCTACTCCTTCCACCCAGAAGTGATCTTTCCCTTTCCCTCTTCTTAACTCCCTTAGTTCTTTGAATCTTTGTTATGAGTGCCTTGTACATACCACCGGCCTGCCACAGACTGTTAGCTCTCTGAGTTCAGAAATCATGTTTAATCCTCTTGGCAGTAGCCAGTAGGTATTCATTATATGTTGATTAAATAAATGAAGTGAATTTATTATGAAAGCGTTTCTAATGAGACTGATGCACTTTGGTGTCTCAGGTCCAGAGCTTTGAAGAAGAGGCTGGTAATCCTCTTGACATGACCTCAGGAACTGTAGGTAAGAATTCATCAAGGTGTACAATTTCATCAATGGTCTTTCACAAAGAAAAATGTCAATAACTAGTGCTCAATTTTCTTAATATGTAGAACTTAAATTATCTTCAAGAGATGCTATACCTACTACTACTACTACTTCGACCTACTGTTATTAAACACCTGCTAGCAATGCATATGTACATGTAAATTTCAAAATACTTACTACAGAGATGTCCAGTATCCCTGGGGCTAATGTAGTATGTGTTATTGTCTAACAAAAACTCTATATGGGGCTTCCCTGGTGGCGCAGTGGTTGAGAGTCCGCCTGCCGATGCAGGGGACACGGGTTCGTGCCCCGGTCCGGGAAGATCCCACATGCCGCAGAGCGGCTGGGCCTGTGAGCCATGGCCGCTGAGCCTGCGCGTCCGGAGCCTGTTGCTCCGCAACGGGAGAGGCCACAACAGTGAGAGGCCCGCGTACCGCAAAAAAACACCAAACAACTCTATATGGCCCAAATAGGCTAATGAAATGGATTTTACACAGACCTGGGACTAACTGAGTGAATACTTTCTTACTCCTACTGCTTGCTGTTTCACAAGTCATATTTTACCGGACCTCAGTTTTTCCGTCTGTAATAAAGAGATAAGTACAGATAATTTTTAAGTTCTCTGCTGGCACTTATAGTCTACATTAAGTGATTCTATGACCATCATATTAATCTCACAGTGGAAACAAGTTGCTTAGATGTAACATTCCAAATCATCTCTTAGACTGGTGTTAATATTACCCTAGAAAACAGAGAAGGAAGTCTTTCTCCACTACTGGTTCTTAGGCTGCCATTCAGCCATCATTGTGATTCAGCATTACCATGATGCTATAAAAGAGCTAAAAGTAGACAGGGGTTAGTGAAGCAAAATAAAGCAGATGAAGCTCGCGTGTTTCCTAGAAGAAAATATGCAAATTTAAAATTTAATTTAGTGTGGTGTCAAACACATTTTTTTCATTACAAAGTGTATGTATGGGCCTCATTTTGCTAAACGCTGTTTAGAAATTATGCATTAGTAATTATAGGGTCCTGCTGACTACATAAATTGTTATCCTGCTCTTCGAAGTAATTACCACTAACCTGCGCTGAGGTTTATAAGACAAAAATAAGCATCTGTTTTCCATCTAATTGAACGCTTCTCAGTGAAGCTGGAGGTCCCCTTGCCAATAGGAATTGCCTTCCTTGACATTCAATTAAGAGGTCTGCTGATACCATGTAAGTCTCCCCAGTCATTCCAAAAAATGATTTGGGAAGTTAGGCAAAAGCACTAATTTACATTTAATCTCGAATTCATAGAACAAATTAAGATGGGTAAAGGTTGGCCTAATGGAGAAAATCTGAATTATAGTAAAGCAAATGTGATTTTATTACTTTCAAAAACAGTGTTGTTAACCCAAGAAAAAATAGGACTGAGAAAAAATAAGTAAAACTAGTTTGATTAGTAGGGAAAGGGAAAATTATTACTTTGATTGATATATATGAATGGATTACATATATATGAATTATATATGTACATATTAAATATATACACATATGAATGAATGAATGTTTACACAAAGTTCAAAAGATGACTTTACTCAAAAGAGGAAAGCACATGGACTGTTTGACCAATAGGATATAGCAGAAATGATGTTGTGCCACTTTCAAGCTTATCCTTTAACCCACCTGGCTGCTTCCTGTTTCTTGAAACACCTGCTCTTGGAACATTCCTTCTGGGAACCTAGCCCTAGCTCATTCTGTGTGAGAAGTGCAACATGTGGGTATGCCACATGTGATCACTCTGGTGGGACAGCCTTGAATGAGCTCACCTGTGAGTAAACCACCTTAGTTACCCAGTTCGGTCAAACTTTCAGATGACTCCAGCCCAGATGCCATCAGACTGCAACTGCCTGAGAGAATCCAAGCGACAACCACATAGCTAAGCTGAATCAATCCACAGAACCATGGAAGTAATAATGAATTGTAGCTTTAAGCCACATATATACATACAAATAGATGAAGGCATGTGATGAACACTTCAAATACCTTTAAAACTTGAAGATACTTTAAAGACTATTTCATCTACTCAAGCACAATACTCTGAATATTAGCAGAAAAAGTGTATTTAAGCATTTCCCTAAATGAATTTGAGCAAAATTTCTTCTTATGAAAGATGGGGACCCAAGGCCACAAATGTACCATCCTCCCTTTATCACTGAAAAATGATCACTGGAATGACAAGGGAATATAAATATAAGAAGGAAACGTAACAATTCTCATCTCACTGAAAATATTCATTTCTGAGGATTCCAAATGATTCTTTGTAGTCATTCTTTTATTGGTGGGCATTTTTGGGATAGCCTCTAATTGTGAACTGCTAGATACTGTGGTAATTTTTCTGTTTGCTGATATTACAGTGACAGGAAAGGTATGCCTTGACTCATCTGAGCGTTAACTTAGCTTCATTTGGAAATTATGACCATAACTCGTTAGTATAGTTCTACAGTGCACTTACAATGCTAAAGGAAGCTCTTCAGACTAATGATAGACAGTGAACTGTGATGTTTATACCATACATAAATGTAATACATATGACATTTTCAGCATGGAGGAAGGGGAGGTTGGTAAATGGATCAATAGAGCTCAAAGTTTTTACACCTTATGTGAAATGGTACAATATTAAAGTACACCACGAGGGACTTCCCTGGTGGCACAGTGGTTAAAAATCCACCTGCCAATGCAGGGGACACAGGTTCGATCCCTGGTCCAGGAAGATCCCACATGCGCGGAGCAACTAAGCCCGTGAGCCACAACTACTGAGCTTGCACTCTAGAGCCCGCGAGCCACAACTACTAGCATGCGTGCCACAACTACTGAAGCCCGCTCACCTAGAGCCCGTGCTCCACAACAAGAGAAGCCCCTGCTCACCGCAACTAGAGAAAGCCCATGTGCAGCAACAAAGACCCAATGCAGCCAAAAAATAAAAATAAAAATAAATAAAATTTAAAAAAAGAAAATAAAGTACACTGTGAAATTTTGAGGATTTAAAGCAACCATTAACAAATCAATAGATAGCTAGTGGGAAGCAGCCGCATAGCACAGGGAGATCAGCTCAGTGCTTTGTGACCACCTAGAGAGGTGGGATAGGGAGGGTGGGGAGGGACATGCAAGAGGGAGGAGATATGGGGATATATGTATATGTATAGCTGATTCACTTTGTTATAAAGCAGAAACTAACACACAATTGTAAAGCAATTATACTCCAATAAAGATGTTAAAAAAAAAAATGGGCAGAAGACCTAAATAGACATTTCTCCAAAGAAGACATACAGATGGCCAAGAGGCACATGAAAAGCTGCTCAACATCATTAATTAGTAGAGAAATGCAAATCAAAACTACAATGAGGTATCGCCTCACACGGATTAGGATGGGCATCATTAGAAAATCTACAAACAACAAATGCTGGAGAGGGTGTGGAGAAAAGGGAACCCTCTTGCACTGTTGGTGGGAATGTAAATTGATACAGCCACTATGGAGAACAGTGTGGAGGTTCCTTAAAAAACTGAAAATAGAATTACATATGATCCAATAATCCCACTACTGGGCATATATCCAGAGAAAACCATAATTCAAAAAGACACACGCACCCCAATGTTCACTGCAGCACTGTTTACAACTGCCAGGTCATGGAAGCAACCTAAATGCCCATCAACAGACAAATGGATAAAGACGATGTGGTACATATATACAATGGAATATTACTCAGCCATAAAAAGGAATGAAACTGGGTCATTTGTAGAGATGTGGATGGATCTAGAGACTGTCATACTGAGTGAAGTAAGTCAGAAAGAGAAAAATAAAAATCAGATATTAATGCATATATGTGGAATCTAGAAAAATAGTACAGATGAACCAGTTTGCAAGGTAGGAATAGATACATAGATGTAGAGAACAAACGTGTGGACACCAAGGGGGGAAAGCAGGGGGGGTGGGGGGGTGGGATGACTTGGGAGATAGGGATTGACATGTATACACTGATGTGTATAAAATAGATAACTAATAAGAACCTGCTGTATAAAAAAAAGTTAAAATCACAGAGGTATAGCAAAAAGCTGATAGAAAAATTAAATTATAATTTAAAAAAGTACAATGAAGGCAGTAAGTGACAGATTGAATACTGCAGAAAAATAACTGAATTTAAAAAGTGGAGACATGTGTGAGAAATTATTTAAGAATCAAGTAGAAAAATGAAATGGATATAATAAACAAAATGTCAAGGAAGACAGATCCAAGGAGTATATTACATAGTCCTAACAGGTGGTTAGAGTTGGACTCTTCCCGTCTTAGTTTTGACTGAGGTTCTAAAAAAGATATCAGATACAAAGTCAACATGTGACAAATCCGTATATGCAACTTTTCTAAGGAAACTGTAGGACTCAATTCCACAACTCTTGAGCTCATTGTGTATTTAAAGAGGGGACAAGTTGCAGAGAGAAAGAAAAGACTGGTGAAGATATTTAATTGGGGAAAAGTAATGCCCTGTTGTGTGCCCTTCTACCATTTGGAGGAGGACTGGGGATGCTACTTTGAGACCCAAGCAGTAAGGGGCATTTAAAGGAGACCACTCACAGAGCAATTTCATTATATTTAACAAGGACAGTCACAGTGTAACCAGTACTTCACATGTTCTGGGTACTTCACGTGCATTACACCTTTTAATCCTCAAAATAAACCATTGAGTTAGGCACTATTATTATTTCTAATTATTAGATGAAGAAACTGAAGCACAGAGAGGTTAAGTAACTTTCCATGGCCTCACAGATAGTAGAAAGTGGTTCCAGGTTTCAAATTCAGGTCATCTAGCACCAGAGTCTGTACTCTTAAATACTACACCATACAACTTTGAAATGACTCCTCTGCAGTTGGAAGACATGTGGTTGGTGAATGAGAAAAATAATGCAGGCTGTGAAATGGATTGTGACTCCAGGCTGAGAAG